CCAGCACCCCAGGCTGCCGGACAAGTCTACCAGAACCCACGGCAGATGCAACAGCACCCTCAGCGGGCTGCTCCTGTGCATTTCCACCCAGAACAGCAAGGGTACGGGGCTCAAGCTGCCTTGTTTCCGCATCAAGGCTTCGCCATGCCCCCCCAACCAGCTGGGCAGGTGTACCACAATGTTCCACCTGCAAGCCAAGCAGCTGCAAACATCGGGCAGCCGCCGGCTCTGCAGATGTCTGTAGGTGCTTTTGGTGGTGCAACGGTCAGGATTGAGAGTCCGGCTGCAGCTGGAGGACTTGTAGCAGGAGGGCTTGTAGCTGGAGCATTTGCTACGGCTGCGTTCGCAGCCAGCAAGGTTTCAGAATCACCTGCAGTTGTACTGGGAACTGGACTGGCAGCAGGGGTGGCTACAGGAGTGACAACCCTGGCAGGGTTCTATCTGGGCAAGAAGCAAGGGACATAGGAGGCCATCCGCAGGGTGGTGGAGAGAGAACGGCACATCCGAGTAGAGAACATTGAGGAGGGATCGCTTCTTGTGCATGTCAAGTTTCTTACACTGGTAAGGCAATCACAATATTACCGGTATATTACAAGTTTTACTCTTTGATTGTTCTTGCTATATAATTATTACTACGGAGTCCATGAAAAATGGAGGTATTGTTTTTGGCGCATCTGTGTGTGTGTGTGTGTGTGTGTGTGTGTGTGTCGCACATTTGTAGTCAGCATAACTTCAGAACACCTTTCTGGATTGTGATATTTGGTATGCTGGTAGGTCTAAGGAAGCCAAAGGTCAAGGTCAAATATGGGCTTCCTGGTGGCTGACCTTGGTACTGCAGCAGAACTTCCGGTTTTTGTATCTTTTTGCAAGGCAGGGAAAACAGATGTGCAGGTTATGCAAAAAAACACGCAGCACGCCTGCTACGGTTTGATTAATGAGGTTCTCCCTCTGGAATAGGCTACTTGTTCAGCTTACCATATCTATTACAGCCTGACCTATTTCAGGCCAAAGGTGCTACTGTTCGTTTGAAAACAAAAACCTGTGTTATTTTGTTCTGTACTGTAGTGTACTGTGTAAAACATTTACAAAAACTCATATATTTCATGGAGGTATGAGATCTCCGAATTCTTGTTGAAACATGTGTTATAAGAAAATATGATTCATGGTTGTAAAAGTTTTTTCAACATGGCATGTTTTGGCAATGTAAGTTTGCTGGTTCGAATGCTATCAGTTTTTCCACTGGTATAATTTTATCAATTCTCTCCCCAGGCTGGCTACTGGGTCCTCCGCAGCTTCAATGAGAAAATCGACAAGCGGTCTGACCGCACCTGTCTGCAGCTGCTGCTGGAGGACGAACTGCGGGGGATCGGCTGGACCGGACCAATCCAAGTGGGGCTGGAGGGGTGGTGGTTTGCTGATGAGGAGGGACAGGAAGAGGAGGAGGCAGCAGGGACAGAGCAGGAAGAGAGATGGGAGTGGGCAGGGAGGGAGAAACAGGTATGAACAATTCATGTAGCTAATTTGGGATGATGGCTACTACTCTGAAATGGTTTTAGTTTTGTTCATATTAAAGGCATATCTGCCAAACGTTTTCTAAGTGACACCTACTTATTCCAAAAATAGTTTCTTTTGTCACAGTGTTACAATACATTACCGGGTAGTGCAGTGTAATTGTAAATCTTAACTTGTATCTTCCTTATTCTCAAGTTTATTTGAGAAAAGTACCTGGAAAGAAATTTGTGCATGTAAATTAAATTTTGTTTATTGTCTAGATCTTATCTAGAAAACAATCCAAATAACTTTTAATTAAAAAAAATGACTATTTTATTTCTTTCCCTTTCCAGTCTGTCCCACCCAGTGTGACTACAGAAGACTCAGGACTGCCTGAAGACGTGTCCTCTGTAGCAGCCATGTCCATCACTTCAGCTGGAGAGGTGGAAGAGGGGCCACTCAAGCGGCAGAGAGCCAAGCTACAGAAGCACAAGGACTCACCAACAGCACAACGCTGCATCAAGGCCTACAGGTCCTGGGAGGAAGGAGCAGAACTCCAGCAGTGGGTACACAGACCTGGAGGGAGTCAAGGCCTTGGTGCAGGGATTCATGCTTTATGACTTTACATCACCAGATGGCACAAGTACAGTACTGTATGGACAGTCATGGCTGAACCTGAACAAAGCCCAGCTGAAGCAGCTGATGACCTCCCAGCTACAAGCTGACCCCACTGACAGCACCTGTCTGCTGCTGAAAGCTCTTCATCTGCCACATGGAGACAGCCGGGTGCAGACCCTGCGGCAGGTGGTTGATGCCATCCTACAGCACGGACCAGGAGACTGGCTGTACCAACACCTGCACCACATCTACTGCTACCTGGGGATAGCCATATGGAGGGCAAGCCCTCGGCCAAAATCAACCCCATCACAGGGGACTGATCAACCAAGAGTTGATCTGAATGCTCTGGCCAAAGCACTATCTGCCATGGCGAGTTCCCTTATGTACAAACAGGACTATTTGGAGACTGTGTTCTACACAGCCGAACTGTCTAAGAAAGTGTCCGAGACAGAAGCAATCAGACAGTTTGAACACTTCCTCAGGCTGGCACCAGAGTGTGATCGCTTTGTGCCTGATGCTCACTACCGTCTGGCCACCCTGTACAACCAGCAGCAGGACAGACAGAAGGCGATTCACCACTTCACCAGGGGGCAGCAGACAGAGGCCAATAGGCTACCTGTGTTTGGTGAAGTCCACAGATCCATCAAAGACCCTGCTAAAATGGCATACGAACGAGTCATGACAAAGAAACAAGCAAACAAGTAAAACCTTTAAATTTTCTTTGGAAACAAAGTCTAAGAAACAAAGTGCACTTACATTGTACAGTGTAGAACTTGCCTTTAAAACCCACAACTATGTACTATCTATATTTCATCGTGATGCTGTGTTTAAAATACAGCTATAGGTTTCAGTTTATGTAATACGTACATGTAGTAATACATCTAACTGTGTTTGATTCGTACTGGACATGCTGTGAATGCGCTGCTATGTTCAGTCCAGTGATTAGCACTAGGCTAGGGTGAAACAAAGTGCACTCACAGTGTAGAAATTGCCTAAGAAAACATTTATTAAAACCTACCATGATCATTACCGGTAAATGCTATGTTTTGAATATACAATATTATGTACTAGGATTTCAGTTCAAGTCAAGATAAGGATGATGCAAATTAGTGAAGAAGCTCCTGTTGTTTCAGAATAGGAGCTTAAGTATTGTCTATCCTTGGGTGTTGCCTGTAATCGAGTTCTAGTTTGCTAAATTGAAAACTATTGAATCTGAAGCCTATTTTTCCCTTCTGCAAAATTGCAGATTGTATAAATTTTTCTTCTGCAATCTTGAAAATCTATCTGCAGATTGCAGACTGCAGACAGGTATTTCGATCACTGCATATTATTGTGTGGTTGAGCATATCAAAACTGAAAGCAATGTTTATTGTTTGACAGATGACAATGTATGTACCTCTACTCCGAAGCGTTAAATCAAATTGTGGTGTATATTTGGTTTCATGATGCTGTTGTTGTCAAGTGGTACTTGAAGCTTAGCGACCATGGAGCATTCTTTGTTTCATCTGCATACCACTAATCACAGGGACAGCTGCAGATTAGAAGTATTAGCGTAAAAGGATTGTTAAAGTTGAATTGTTAAATGTCACATTTCAATGATTTTGACCATCTGTTTCTGTTCACAGCTGCAGAAGCTCCAGGCCTGTGGTTGTGATGCGGTGGCTGCAGTGTATAACCACAATACCAAGGATGTTTACGTGGACGGGACACCCGAGGGGTCCAGGATGATGCCAAACCTGGCATGGGACTTTGGGGTCTGCTTTGGAGGACCAGGTAGTGCTGGTAAGTACACTTATAAGGATGAAAATCTTTCCTCATTAAAGATAGTATAGCGTGTATTTAGAAATATAAGAAAGTTAGATGCTCCACAAACCCTCTGTAAATCCATCCATCATGGACTTATCTATAAACATCAAAGTATATGCATCAAATTACAAATTATTCAACAGTGAACAATTGTGCTGTAATTTTTCAGACAAACCGAAGGATGGCACGGATGGGACAAAGGCCTTGAAAGAGGAGGTCATGGCGCTACTAACAGAGAAATGGCGTAAGTACTACTTGCATTACTAATATTCCTCTATTTTGGGTTAAAAGCAGAGCATTAATACAAGGTGTGCAAAGAAATGAAGGTGTAAGATACAAAAGAGCAGTGTTTTGAAAACACAAAAACCTACTGCCTCTGCATCCACCGTGCTGCGTCACATATGGTCATTTATTCCTTCCATAATCCAATAAGTTAGATAGTCAAGTTTATCTAACATATAGAACCAAACCCAAAATATTTATTCCATAATAAGTCACCAGTACTAAGATGTCATAAAACCAAAGGTAGTGAATATTGATACCAGTGCTCAGCCCGTGCTTAAAATAGCTTTACCGTGTACCAAGTGGCATTAGTTGCGTCGGGTGGTGTAGTGGTTAGAGCATTCGACTATGAAGCGGGGAGACCCGGGTTCGATTCCGAGTTGTACCTGGGACATGTATGGACATGTGTCCCGACGTTGTGCCCTTGGGAAAGGCACTTTACACAAATTTCTCCACTCCACCCAGGTGTGAATGGGTACCTAACTTCCGTTGGGGAAAGTCGTCTTGAGGTCATCTGGTGGTGCCGAATGGCAGCCGCACAACCCTTGCGACAATTCCACAAAAAATGTGCAACAAATATGTGTATTATTTGATTGTTGTGTATCATATGTATCGTTTGATTGCTGTGATTTGTATTGATTATTACTTGATACCCTGCATCAATTCAGCCGCATAAAGGCTGCGACTGCACGAAAACTGTTTGGACAATAAAAAACCATTTATTTATGTTGTCACAATAATGTGCTGAGCTAACAACTTAGAATATAATAAGAGTGGCAATGAAGTCATAAATTTTTCCCGTCTCTTTCTGTGTGCTCTTTGTTAATTTGTTTCCATTTTGTGCAGGCTTACTTCATAATGTCTGCTAAATATTTGATGTTGTTCCATTTTAGTATTATGGGTTTCTCCATTATATTAATACGTGTATGTGAAAAAACTTTTTTCAGGGTTGACAGGGTTCAGGGAAAAGTACAAGAATTCCCTATGCTGCACTGAAAAGAGGGGAGGTGTCAGTGGAGGGCCTCCCAGAGGACTTCAACCTCAAGAAGCCAGGGGAGTTGGGGCGGGAAAAACTACAGGTCATCCTGGACCGGAGGGAGGAGATTAGTGTGAAACGTGAGTCAGCATATTGTCTGTTTATAGATCATATCAATGGAAGGATGGCAATACTACACTAAAGCTTGGAATGAAAAGCAATCAAATCCAATACACAGATTTACATAGATGTTACACTGAAATTCCTTAGAGATAAAGTTTTGAATCAATGTTTGTCAACTGCTCTTAAATTTAATGGCACCTGTCAAGTGTGGCCAGATTTAGTAGCACTTGGATTTGAGATGAAGGAATTTAAAAAAGTCAAAATACAAGTAACTTTCTCCTTGATTCAGAACCCGTAAGCCGTCGGGATTAGTAGCTCATCTTAAACCACACAATGACATACCTATGTCTCATATTTATGCACTTTTTTTCAGAGCAAGTTTCCAGTCCAGTCAATGCAGATGTGGATGATTCAACTGGTAATTATACATTCTGCAATACAGATAAAATTCACAAGACTGTCACATCAGATGTGATCATAGCAGTGAAGATACAATCTTTAAATGATAGTAATAAAAATGGTAATATATTTGATAATTAAAATACATGTAACAAGTAACAAAAAAGTTATTGAAGGTAGGAAATGTAATAAAACAGACTTTTATTCAAGGTTTACAAAAAAAGACCACAACAACTGCTATACTATTGCTAGTACATATACATGTGTGATATTCACATTTCTCAAATAAATACAAGTTTGACTTCAGGTTGATAAATGCATTGGACAAGAAAGAAGTACATGTATCACAAACCTTATGTTAAAATATCTATCTCATAAGATGAAACTCTACAAACATTTATTTGTTGTTGCTGTTATCTCTGAACAGCTCAATCTGCTGAAGGACTATCCTCAACAGCTGAGGAGCTGCTGACTGGGGTGATGACTGGTCTGGGGGAGGCCTCACAGACCGGAGGAGAAGAGGTCATCTTATCCAGCCAGGCTCCAGATGCAGACAGAAATGTCTGGAACCTTTCTTTTGCTTCATAAACTAAAATTAGATTGATGACAAAGAAATCTTGTAGAACTTTTCAACATTCCGAGGAAGAAAATATGTTTACATTCACGGTGGTTCATTTATAGTTGTTTTATTGATACATTGTATCAAAAGAATTTTCCAGAGATGCTAAGCTGATAAGTGAAGGAGATCCTTGACTGATGTGAATATCCCTAGCTGTTGTATATTTGTAAGGACACGGCAGACGAGGCTGACGTCCCCGCTGTGTGCTGGCCGGTGGGACGTCAGGAAGAACCACGAAAAGTCAGCCAATTCCCGTTCCAATATTTTATTTGAAAAGTCCACGGCCGGCGGGATGTTGGAAGTGCAGCAGTCGGTAGCGGAAAAGCTGGCTGGTCCTAGCGTAAGTCTAGCAGGCTCAAGTCACGGATATCTTCGGGCTTCTCAAGTTCTTACCAAGTCTCTGGCTTCTCTCCTGTTTTCCGACAGACAACCATTTTTATGCTCTCAAAGTTCTGTCCACTCCCATCCCCCAAAATTTGGTAATCTCTGTCAAAGTTGTGTCAAAATCACGTAAGGTACTTCGTCGGGATTGGACGGAGAAGATATGTAAAACGTGTCAAAATTGGATACTTTCACTGGCAGTTTTCGTCTAGACAATGCTCGAACTACGTGTCAAATGATTATTTTCTCATTTTTCGTGAGTGACCCTGGGGTCAAAAACTCGGGTTCATGAACTTTGGTCAAAGTAGGGCACCGAAAGCCTTACCCCTCGGATTTCGAGAGGGTCAGCCCACCCGAAACTTTATATCGTAAGGTCCAATGTGCTTGTCATAGTTTTCTGGACTACGCCCATCCTGTTGTAGGGAGCGCAACAGGTGCCAGCCTTTCCTTGCCACCGGTTCAGGACTAAGTACAAGGTTACAATCATGTTCCTTCTGCTGTTCCGACATCCACTTGGCCCGTAAGTATAAAAATAGGAATCATAAGTACTACCCTGTAAGTTACAATGAGTTTTTCTTCTGTTTCCATTGGTACAACGCTAACCTGGATCCCAGCTTGACAAGAATAACAGGTTGTCCGGCCCAAAGGCCACTATCGCGATCCTTATCTCTATTGACTAATTGAGTCCTTAGACCTTGGTGACCCGATATGTCGGGAGGGTGGCTCGAAGCAGCCAAGACCGGGATACTGCAGTCCAAACATCTGTCCTGTCCATCACTGGGCAGACAGTCGACCAAGGCACTCTTACAATACTGTATACGAACGGGGATCCGGCTAACATTTACATAGTACATATTCAAAAATACGAGAGAAAAGATACATAGTTCGCAAAAGGAATACATATTATGAGTACCGAGAACATATTTAGGTACATAACTCAATTCAAGGTCCGCGTGCACTGTGGGGTATCGTTTATCTAATGACCTAATCCTGTCACCTTATCTAGCGCGTGGGCAAGCGGCCCAAGGGGATAGCCCGGCTGGGGCCGAGGGGCGGAACCGGCCGGTGGCGGGCTGCTGGCTGCTTAGCAACAGCGTCTTGGGTGACGTATGCCCTTGCTGGTTACTTATTAACCATTTCCTACTCCAGAGGTCGGGGGTCGTGCCCTCAAAACAACAAACTTAGCCTCCCTAGAAGCTTAAGTGTCTGAGAGGCTCTATCAAGACATTGCAGCAGTCATAGCAGGTTTTGACAGGCTGTAGGGGAGCAGGAGCTGAAGAAGTATAAAGCGGGGGCTCCCGCTTACACCCCCTTGCTTTAACATTGCGTCGTCCCGACGCTATAGACGGGTCGATTGTAGGAGTATTACAATAACAATAGCAGCGTGTTGGAAAGACCAGTGGTCAAACTTATACATGCTTTGTACCTATTAACCACACGTAGAATAAAACCAAATGAGAGTATCAAACTTGGAAGAAATAGGAACATCAACTTCTCGATTTAAGTATCAAACAGAGCGTGGGCAGGACCAGGATTGGTGGAGTTACGTGACGGACGCCGAATTCTCCTCGTGCGCAGACATGTACTGAATGAAGGAGACAGGGAAGGATCAGACCGCGGAGGTGAGCGGGTACGGCGCCCAATTCCCCAGACCAACTCCTTGGAGACAGTGGTCTGAGTGGTCTAAACCACCTGCAACCATGGCAAGTTATTAATAGAATTGTAGAGGGCGTAACTGGCACCCTCCCTTAGTCTTAGAGAGAATCATATTTGTACTGTTTTATAGATACGAGATAACCACCGGACTACACGCTGCCGCAGATACAAAAGCTGCAACAAATGCGAGGTGGTTTACGGGACGGTTAGTCGTCTAGGGCGTCCATATAGTTTCATTAGCTGTGGAAGGACGACACTGGTGAGGAGGTCATCGCTCCGCCTAGCTATCTAAACATCATGACATGCTGTGTAAAGGAGAATCTATGACATTGAGCTACGTGTTCGTGAGGACAGCGGAGGGCAGTCTGGTGCTTGTACAGAGCGTGATGCACCACTGTGACCCGGACAGACGGAGCCACGTGAATGGGAATCCTGCCCACTGGCTGCCAAGGACGGACCGAGGGCTGATCTACGGCATCAACCGGGAACATCTACAGATCTGTAGACTGGGGTACGAGCCCGGCAGTCCGCAGGAGCAGCCGGCGGAACCCAGACTGAGATGTGACGTGGTGCGAAGTGGGAGGACTCCACAGGAGAGACAATACCCTAACTTGTTTTGTCGCTTCGCGTTATATGTTCCCGAGTACTTGCAACATGCCTTCGGGCAGACCTGGACAGTATGTACATCACTGTCGAAGATCATAGAGATCATGTTCATAGCGGCAGCCTCAGTGCATGAAATATCTGAAGTATTTTTCTGACATCTCCGACACCAATTGCGGAGAGAGAGGGGGAATCGAGAGATAATGGAACGTGACAGGCGACTCTTCGGCCCTGTCGACCACGAAGAGCTGGAGAGGGATCTGCGCTCGAAGATTGCGGCGATTCATCCGGAATCTAGACGCAAATGGGACTCTGACTTTGACTCAGGGCTGACATGTCAAAATATTACACTATTAAGTCGGACACAAATGTTTGAACATGGAACAATATTTGACTGTTAATATGTGCTGTAGAAAGAAAAGTAGAACCTCTAAGTAACAAAAAACAAGAATATGACAGATTATCAAGGTCCAATCAGTATTTTTAAGTTGCCGAAAAGGGTAGCTCTTTGTTCGGTGTAAATAGGGCAGTGTAAAAAGAAATTAATGTTTTCACATGGCTGACCACAGGAACAAGCTGGACTAGAAACTAAATTACGTGTGAATAAACTATGATTTAGACTGTGCGTACGGAAACGAAAAAGTGTGAGTAAAGCACAGACCTTGTCTGAGCACAGACCTTGTCTGACCATGAGGGACATGACTGTTGGGCTAATGAGAAATGAGCGAGCCCATCGTGGTCTTTTCGGAGGATGATTCAGGGAGAAGCGATCCTGGGATTTCCCGGTATAGTGATCACGATCAGCTCGGAGGCGTTCGAGAAGGCGAGCTTTACCCCGCGGGGTCGACGTTGCCGCGCACGCTCGCGCTTGCCCGGCGGCAGTTCCCAACGCAGCGTCACACGTCGTGCGAGGACTCGACTATTCCAAGAGTTCCTGTACTTGACAAAGGAGCAGCTCGACAAGCTCGTCTCATCTGATGACCTTGAAGAAAGCGTGGACAAAGCAGTGATCGGCCAGTGACAGGAAGAGGAAATAGGAGACGAAAGAGCTGATAGAACTGGTCTGATTCCCTTTCACGCACAGACTGCACTTTAAAATGGAGAATGTAGAGAGCAACAACGCCGTACGCAAGGCTTGCCAGGGCATCATGATGGAAGCCCGTCGGTACCAGCTGATGAAGAGGGTGAAAAAGTGGTTCCGAAGCTGTTCCTAATACGGCAAGAAAAGGTCAATGATACGGCGGGGACTCGTCGGCAAAACAATGCTAACTGAAATGCTAACTCTTGCATGATGTAGCTTGCCTGTGGCATTATAAGACAGCCCGAACACTGATCAAGGAAGTTATATTAAATTTAACCTCCTTGCACTCATTTAGCGTTGGATGGATGCAATTTTGTGTCAGACTCTTGAATTATAACAATAATTTCTGTTTGTCAGTGTTTTTGTCCCTTTTTTTTCATTTTCTTTTAGTGTGTGATAGGGTCTGTAGATGCAGCCACCACGACCTTCTCTGCCTTACTGTTTTCGTGGCTCTGCTCCAGTCGGAGGATAGGGGGAAAAGAATTTTCTGACCTACCTTGGTTCTTGGATAAGATGATTTAATTGAAAGAGTTAGTAGAATACAGAGCCGCCACTAAGATGCATGTATTACTGAACTGAATGTACGATGTGAAAGTCACTTGCATGTCCCGAATAGTGTTCAAGATAGATGTCTTAGATGATGCTGGTAGTACGGATAGCGTCCAAAGTAGTGTCCAGAGTGAAATCCCAAGATAGTGTCCAAGATAGTGCCCAGGCCCTTCACCCTGACTGTTGATTACTTGCCAGGGCTCGACTGCCTTTGGTACGTTGTTACCGATCAATAAGCCCATTTCGGCGTCTATCTTTGGCAAATTTACCTCCCCGAGGTAGGGATAATCTTTTAGATCTTCCGTCGAAATTATATTTCTCTTGGAAGCCGGGATCCTCTCTTGAGTATACGCCGTAGCTATATGGATAATATTTTCTCTACCTAAGTCCGAGACTTCTAGGTCCTCTAAGACCTCGCTGTTCACTTCTTTGGAGCCATTGATCGTGTTCAGCGTTAACTTGGTTTTCTTCCCACTTGTTTATATGCTGTGGAGGCAAACATCCATCAGCAGGTGAATGACGGGGGAAGGAGTTCATTCGCTGAGAAGGAGGCGGAGACGGCCATTGCCCACGGTTACTGGAGCCGACCGGCAGTGTTAGAGGGAGCCGACTCGACCAGATGGAGAACGAGATGCGCGAAATGAAGGTATTCTGTAGAGGTGAACATGCACAGTCCACGCGGAGGTCGGGACGCGGGCGACTTCATCCACGGTCGCCTAGGGGA